TTCAGTGCTCTTAGCAGTATCCTTGTCAGTCTGAACCAGTAACAACTTCTGGAATGTCTTATCCCACCCCGTATACATACGCCGCAGTACAGCGAGTAACTGCGGGGAGCTGGTATATGACACGGTACTCACACGTCGTCGATTCCTTTCAAAGTCATGACCCGGAATTGGTACTTTACCGTATGTGATAGTACCCGGTTCCGTCATTTTCTTACCAGGATGAAGATCTAAACCTTGAAACCGTGCTTGTAAGGCTGGATCACTGCGTAGTTTGGCCAGTAACGCCGCCTTCTTCATACTCCGCATGTATTCTTGAATAGCAGTGTCGGTGAGTTGACGTAATAGAGATGCAGCAGGTTGCGAGTCTAGTAAGGCAACACGCTCAGGTAGACCGGCCACAACTCGACCATGCACCCGTTCCAGTGTGGGGCGTCCCATTGCTCTTAATTGTGACGCATCTTGTTTGGCTAAAAAGTCGTCAAATCTCAGTATGGCCTTAAGTTGTTCCCTTCTCTCTCTCGCCGCAGCAACACGTTTCTCAAATATTATGGGAGACTCACTTTCGAAACGCAAATTGATCCTTTTCACATATTTTTGTCTGTCGGATCCTTGGAATTGGACCAAATATTGCGCTCGACTTTCGTCATAGCCCAATACTGCACAACTTCTCCATCTCCATTCACCCTGGAAGAAATACGGCGATGCACCGACACGTTCTCGTTCGAGCCATTCTTGTGGTGTATGAGCTTCGAACTCGTCGCTGTCAAAAATGTGCAATGGAAATTGGGATTGGTCCAGTTGCAAAATGTCCTCTTCGGTCTTATTTGTCTCTTCGACGTTGGTACTCAAATTTTGGGACGGACTATCGTCCAAAATTTGGTTACGTATTCTGCCCGGAAAAGGTCGCACTGGAGCTGGTGCAGTGAGCTGATGCTGCTGAGCTCGTCTCTCCTGTTCACGAAGCAATTCTTCAGCGGATTTCCAGCGATGTGGACGGTTGTTATGGTCCACACGTGAGAGGTCAATTTTTGGTTTTTGTTGCTTGTTTGAAGACGCTTTTAAAGCTCCAGAGGCCGCTGCAGCATTGCGACTAGCTCGAGTTGCTGCGGCCAATCGGGTCTGCTGCAGACGTCGCTCCTTTTCCTTGCGGTGCTGCTTATGCAACCTGAAGCGTGCCAGAAGCTGCTGCTCTGGGGTCAAAGAGTTTGAGCAATTGGACGGCTGCTCCTCGTCTTCCTCCATGTTTGTCAACACATCCGGATGCGACTCGGCCATGCTCAAGATGGTTGTGAGGTTCCAAAGTGCATAACAGTCAAGCGTCGCGTGGGTAGGCGCCCCTCCGTCTCAGTAACCGTTGCAGCACTTTGTATTATTGGTGGCAGCGTTGTTCCAGTAGTATATCATCATCGCCATGGTCGTCCTTACTAGGTCTAGTAACAACAGCCGATCTTGATCCACGACGGTTGTTGAGCTGCTTCATTATTGCCGTTCATGGGCGGCGCGAATGGAGTCGTTGGTGATCAAGACATGTGTAGCCAGCGAAAACGTGAAAATTCCGAGCTTCTTGACAAGCGAGCCCAACCGATCCAAGTGATGTGTTACAGTGTCAATTTCCTAAGGACCTGGAAATTGTCCTTCCAGCCGCACATAGTCCTTCACCTGGAATGCTAGCACCGTTCTCCTGTTCCCCAGCGTTCGTAACATCCTTTGCAATCTTGAATTCCTCACAGTTCAAAAGGTGGAGGCGTTTTGCAGCGCTTGTCCTTGGTTCCGTCAAGTATCGTCGCCATACATGCACAGCAGGTCTCGGTAGCATTTCAAGTTTCGAGCACTGGATT